TATATAAACACTACCTGTCTGACACAGACTTGGTTTGTCGATGGCTTTGGTTACTTACAGGAACGGGAAACGTATTCAGAATATTCGCAGCTCTGTTGTAAACTTATTTTAATCTTCAAAGAGCAGCAAGGTTTAATGGACAGTTTAGATTCACCGATCCGTTCTAACTGAGCAGATCTCCGATTTACGTCTTGGCGTATGATAGGCTAGAAGAATCACACCATTTTTAAAGATAGAATTTTCCATATTTCATCGAAGTATTTCCATATATTTTACATTATAGGACCTACAGTACACATTAGTCAGATACACAGACCGTTCAAATTAACTGTTACTACTGTGCGCGACGAGTATCATGAAGACTCATTTCTCAAATCGGTAACCCGTGGCACCTGATGCGTATTGCAGCACCGACGATCAGAATGAGAAGTCTTCAGCTCTCAGTCACTTTAAACGAAAATTAAGACCTTTTCAGTTGAGCTGGAATGATTTTGATGAAACGAAGAGAAGCTGTGATCCATATAAGAGTGGAGTAATATAGCAGTCTCCCGTCATACACACGGGGTTTCCATTCATGCCACATAACAGCAACAAACTAACATCTAATACGCATCTTATTTCCAACGGGAATACTAGAAACACTGGGAAAATTGTATTTACGTTTGATTATTTAAAATAGCCTAACGCGAAGCAAACTACATTTCTGTCGTACTATGGGTAACATATCACACTGTAAATAATCAACAGCCAACTCTGACACCTTGTGAACTTATTTTTAAGCTCCTTTGTTTAAATTAATGTTTTGCCTAAAACTGTTACATTCATCAGCCCAGCACATCCTTGCCCGAAGCTCTGCGAGACAATTTACCAAACAAATTATAACCCTGCCAGTGTACTTCATTTGCGGAATTGAATCAGCGTCCGCTCGAACATCAGCCGTCCGCCGTGGGCGCATCTGAAGGCGGAAAAAATCGTGAAACGTGTGGCACCGTATTGCTGCCGCTACCCCGGCGTGTTGGGGCTCACGGAGAGGCGTCGAGTCCTCTTCAAACGAGACTGAATTGGTATTTTAATATGGAATAACTAAACAGCGTGCCTTGCTTTTCTGTGAAGATGTCAAACTAGTATCATGAATTTTAAAAGAGATTTAACATTCAGCATCTTTCATTTGAGTGCTTACAATTGCAAAACAATTCATCCGAGTCAATGATTAATACTGCTTAGGTATTTTAATGCCTGCGCTTCAACAGAACACGCATGCACAGAGAATTATGTTTTCAAAAACTCAAATGTATGCAACTCGTACTTAGCAAACATTTAACTGTTACTCCTATAACTATGCTTTATTGAATATGCAACACACACTGAATCCCACTCAGATTCTCCAAGACTCAGATTGCTCATTCAACTAGTTGGAATGCAATAATGAAAAGTCGCTTGGCTTACCATTCTAAGCTCTTGCGTTCGGTCCTTCATGGCGTCCAACAACGAATCCCCTTGAGATAGATGCTACCCTGCGTCTCCGCTCAGGTTTCACGGTCTGTTTCAGTCTTTTTGAAATGAGCAGCAGCTAGAAACGAGAGCGCGCACTGGGGGGGGGGGGGGGGGGGCTGCGTGAACGCGCACCCTTCACATTTACCGAGAGTGTCTCCCCCCCCCCCAGGGTGCCATCTCTAACGTGTTGCACCTATTAATGGTGAGACAAGGCCATCACTTAACTGTGAAAATACCGACCAAAAACCTCCTTCAGCTTACGTCTCAGCGTCATATCAAGACGACTCTCAGCAGTCGAATTTGACGCCCTGCATTATGAGACATATGTTCCCAAGGTTCACTAATGGCGGAGATCAATCCCATTGATCTAGAATACGTCCTTACAACTCGGTGTAATTGGCTGTCAGCTAAACAGGTTGTAAAACATAATGCCTAACTGGTCTACGCTTGCTGGAAGACTTACCTTGGATGGTCCGAGGGTGACCTCTTCCGGTCATTACCACATTTACATGTGTGAGGAATTGCTTTTCGGATCATTCAGAACCACTGTTAATGACGCGCTACACACTCTTTGTCAAAAGACTCGTAATGAGTAAATGTATCATAATTACATGCATAAGCAAACACACTGGATACATTTTACTCAATGCACAATAATCACTAAGCTTTACTTGTAATACATCTCTTAAATGATATACATTTTATTTTGTATCAAAAGAAACAAAAATAGTTCCTTTTTGTAAACATAAAATATTGCTCACCCCTGCACACCACCTAAGTGACTTAAACGTTATAATAATCGAGTCACTGTTGGCGGTTCTCCCAAACTCCATTTTTTCAAATTTTATAAGCAGTCTGGTAGTCCTGTTTTCCAGGTTAAAGTTCAGGCTTGATTTGATCAAGAATCCACCTCTTTGCCTAGAGAGGAGAGGTAAGGAGCACATACAGTGTGTTGCTGCACCCACCACACAACAAACTACCTCAGGGATGAGAACCTGAGTGCAGCCATGTGGCAGATGATACTAGTCTGAATGGACCAGTGTTCCCCCCAGTGCCTGGAGTGCCAATCCTGCCACCAACCCCCAAGTTTTTCCCCTGTAAGCTGGAGGACCTCCTCATAGGGCTGCAGATGTAGGTTAATGTCATACCCAAGATGAAGGGCCTTGCTCAAGGGCCCAATGGAGTAGAATTAATCTGGGCATTCACAGGATTTGAACCAGCAACCTTCCAATTACTGGCACAAATCCCTAGCCTCAGAGCCAGGCTCTAAATAATTTGGCTCAACTTAAAAAAGATGTTAATTTGCATGCGTTTAAGTTTTTCCGGTTTCAATTACTGAGTAAACTAAATGAGTATTTTAACGTTAGACTTAGTTAAATATTTAAGTACAGCCAAAACGATTTGCCTTTACTTTTACAAATCTAATTAAGTTAAAACAACATATCACTACAACTGTTGAATGGATATAACGTTTTCATTATTAGAAGTTTGCTGTTTTATATCACGGCCACACCAGGTAATATACTCCCGGTACCGCAAAGTGTTGGTTTCCTATGCTTATAAATAGAGACATGGGAGCCGAAGAACTACGCAGCCCGCTCTCGCTCAGTATCGGACGAAAGGAAATCCATAATCCCCCCCCCAACGCTATGCAATCCACCAACATGGGGAGGTCTGATGCTGGACGGTAAAGTACAGTCAAACCTCGGATTGCGAGTAACTTGGTTTATTAGTGTTTCGCAAGACGAGCAAAAAATTTTAAAATAAATTTTAACTTGATAAATGAGCGAGGTCTTGCAATACGAGTATTACGCATACGCTTTGACTGCCGAGCGTCACGTAATCACAACTGAGCCGATAGTTCTTCTCTCTCTCTTGCTGCGGGATTGTGGGTAATCGTCTCCCATGCTCGGTCGGTCTCAGTCGGCGTGCCTCACTGGTATAATGAAAATTTAGTAGAAAAGCACCACCCGAATAAGGGCGTAGCCATGCGAGTGATGACTCTGTTTAAGGACAATTATGAAGTTAATTTTGTGCCAAAAGTATTAATCAAAATTTTGAAAACCGCAAGCAAATTATTAAGCATTAGAATGAAAATATGTATTCTAAACATCAAAAAAGTCGAATAAAATAATTTTTTCTTACACCTTCTGGAATGCTTTTCTTTGCTTTTGATTTTATTATTATTTTTTGCTTCTGGAATGCTTTTTGCCTTTGAATTTTTTTTGCTTCTGACTTTTGGCCCTGTTTTAACTTGTGGGTGGGCCTTAGAAGGGGTTGTACATCTTACATATCTATTGGTCAGCTGGAATTTGGAGCGAAGACGCCTTTAACCATCTGAGCGTGCCCACTCCATGACGCTTCGGAAAATCGCAACATGGTGGGAAGCTCCGGAGTCAGTTTACAGCATGGAATTGCATCTTTGCAGTTCTATAATAGTTTATTTTTATTAGGAATCGGTGTGTGCTATGCAACACGTATTTCGCATTCATAAAATGTCACCAACCGATCCAGTTCAGTAACTTTCGTTATTCGTTATGCCTAAATCACCCTTTATCAATTAGCCTACATTTTCTTCTTCTGTGTACTGTTTGTCACTTCCGGGTAAAAAATGTGTCGTGCAGTATCTAGTTCAGTTTGGGTTCAATCGAACTTATACACGGAGCTAAATCCATTCCAAACCACATTATCTGGGTAGACTGAGTGATTTCAGTTGGACTAACATCTTACATGTGTTTTAAAAAACCGGTTGGAGTCGGAATAACACTAATTTAATTTTTCTTTATCATGGGCTGCATTGACTGCACTTCAGTTGATGTTAATGTATGTTTTAATGTATCATAAAACTGCAAAATGCATAAGAACTACCACATTAATGCAAGCACTTAGAATGGTCAGGGCCAAAATGTTGTCAATTTATAAAAGCCTGTAGATAATTTTACATCTTTCTGTCAGAATCTTTAAGAATCAGACAACTTTATCATCCTGAGGGGAAACGCTTAAAATTGTAAATGTGTCTGCTTTGAAAAAGTTATGGATTTTTGTAATAATTTTGTGTTAATTTCAGAGGCCATCTACAAGGCATCAAAAGCATCAGAGAAAGAAGTGGAAGATGCCATGTGAGATCACCTT